GCAGTATAGTGGCACAAGTAATAAATATCGAATCCACGGGTCTCTAGAGTTACTATTACTCAGCTTCAGTTCATTATCTAGCAAACTAGATTAAGGATTGATTTACTAAACTACTCTACTAATTACTCTACTAATTACAAGTTGGGAACTCACTTAGGTATGATTCCCCTTAGCTCCTCAATTAGGTCCAAGTTGCAATCACCTTTGGTTGATCTACTGTTGATTAAACTGCGGAAGATCCTAAATTAGCTTGGAATCTCTTAAGCTGACCAAGCCCTCTTAGACAGAATACCCGGCAGGCGACTAGCCTTCACCGGGATAGACTACTAAGGTGATTCACACAGATCTCCACTACTGGAATGAATTCCAGTATAAAGCAGTGAATTGATTGACTCTCGCACAACCAATTCACCACTATCAATCAAGGAAGCTCTCTTAACCTAATCAGATTTTATCTATCATAGGTTAAAGCAGAAATCAAGAGAAGATGATCAGGCTTCAATTGACTCTATAAATCATTGCCTCAATCGATTATAATCAAACAATATAGCATCCTAAACTTCATACAAGAAAGATCCTAACACATGAGTTCCTCAAAACCTAAGTGAAGGGAAGTTACTCCATAGAGAAGAGAGAGACTGCGGAAATCTGATCTCGATCTTCAATCTCCATCTCCAAGCTTGATACCCGAGCTCCAATGGCGAAGAAATCCTCCAAAATAGCTCCAAGAATATTCCCAAGTCGCTCTCTCTCTCTAGGGTTCGTCCCTTGGGTGTTTGGGAACCAAAACCCCGCTCTTCCTCTCCTTTGGCTCGAAATTGGCTTAAAACCAGAAATTCCCGACTCACGCGGCCATGCCACACGGCCGTGTGACTCCCCCAGCTGCCCGTGTGACTTTGCAAAACGCGGCGTTCGTTAAGTGACTTCAGGCTTCCTACGCGGCCACGACCCACACGGCCGTGCGGCTTCCCAGGGTGCCCGTGTGAGTTCCCTGGAATTTCCACACGGCCACCAGAGGTCCCCTACACGGCCATGTGGCTTTTAGGCATGCCCGTGTGGCTTCTCAGCTTCTCGCCAAACGCCCGTTTACCACTATAGCACATAATGCAAAACTCACAGTGTACAGTAGGAAGCGACTTTTTCGTATGGAACAGTAAATTTCAGTTTTGGTAATTTTTGTCTACTTGTGGTTTAATAATTCTAATAATAGGAGTATATGGCAGAATAGCTGTATAAAAGTGAGACTTGCGCCCAAGATTGAACTCTTAGTCATTGTTGTCGGATCTTGAAAAAATGCCAAAAATTTCATACCCTGATAACATTGTCTACGCAATGACATTGTAGGGGACGAAGAAACTCCACCCTTCGTCGGAGAAACTCCACCTTCATCATATCTCGCCCTGCTGGACTCGACAAACAGAAGGCGGCTAAGAAGAAAGGAAAGGAGGTTGATGAGTCATCATAGAGCTACATTGCTCAATTGTTGGCCTATGGAAGTGAGTTAAAGGAGAGGCATGCTTTGAGGGCTGAGTATGAGCGAAAAAGGATGAAATTCCAAGAAAAAAATATCAAAGTGCGATGAAGAAAGTGGGATCTTGAGAAAAGGGAGAGGGAAGAAAAGTGGGAACTTGAGAAAAGAGAGAGGGAAACGATACTACTTCGGGAAAACATTGATCTTATAGAAAGGGACTGGTCAAAGTTGACACCAAGAAAGAGGAAGTATTGGAGAAATAAACAAAACGTGCTTCTAGGTATGATCAAGACGATCCCAACTTTGTTCCCAACTATTCATCCAACGCAAGTCAGACCGGAGGAGATGGAAATAGAGGAGGAGATTACATGAATTACTATTCTCTTCTAGGCGATTATTGACATGTTATGTGTTTCATCTTTATCATTTCAAGTGTTGTGTGAATTTTTAAGTTTTATCATTTTCAAGTGTTGTGTGTAATCTTTAAACTTTATCATTATCAAGTGTTGTGTGTAACCTCTGATAGTATCATTTGAACTATTATGTGAACTCCTTCAACTTTATCATTTCCAAATAATGTGTGTAAAGAAAAATTAGGGCAATCATTTTTTGCCAAAAAAAAAAATTCGGCCTCAGAATTAAAAAAAAAAACTCTATCAAAAAATTTATATTTAAAAATGATGATGAACTATACAAAATTAACATTAACAAATTAGATTGAGATGATCATAACTACTTTTTTAAGTAAAGAAACACAAAAAAAAAGGGAAGTCCCCAAATTTGGGCGATTTATCCATTAATACCACCATTTAAAAAAAATTTACAAAATACCACCCAACCCTCGAAAATTCCAAAACTACAACCATTAATTGAGAACCACTGCAGGGGGAGACGATTTTAACGTAAACCGCCTTGGGAGGGGCGTTTCCTCCTAGGGAGGCCAGTCAACCGAGTGCGCAGGCGGCGTTTATCGAGATCGCACGTTGAAGGAGCGATCTGGCGGTGGACCGCCTGCTAGCTCAGCGATCCGCATAGTGGATCTTGGAAACGTCCTGCGAGGCGCGTTGTCTCCTTGGAGACGCAAACCGTTCCCTTGGGAGGCGTTTTTTCGTTCGGAGAAAAATTACCAAACCGGCCTCCAACCTAGCAGTTTGTGTGCTATATAACACCCCCCCCCCCCCCCCCCCCCCCACCCCAATCCTTTATTTCTCTTCACACCAAAATTCACTCTTCTCCCTTCCCCCCTCTCCAAGCCAAAACCAAGGAAATAGTGGTTTGTTGATTGCGACTAAGTCCAAACTGTCATCAAAAAACATTTCTTTGGTTTTTCCTTCAAGGTCCGTCGAAACTCTGTCCGCATTACTGAAAAAATGGCGGATTGGTCGGAACTTGAGGGTATTTTTATGGATGAGTATCAAGCGGTACGTACTCATTTTACCAATTTTATGTTGTTGTTATAATTTTTGTATTTAATATATATACTAAATAATTTATGTTGTTATGCTATTGTAGGTTGGGGAGGACGTGGATATATACGATCAACGATATTATGTGGAGCAAGGACCGATTGATCCATCCGTGCTATACGACCAATCTAACCATCGTTCAAGGGATGTTTGGAACGATCACGAGGTACTTATAATATATCATAATTATATATTATTTATTTTGTTAACGTAAGTTAGTGGTTTGTAAAATAAATTGTTAATTGTTAATCATATTGATTATTTTCAATAATTTAAAGCAATACAATGTGTCACTTATTTAGACTTTTCATAAAGAGATGCATGCCTAAGGAAATGGGGTCTTAAGCGATCATCATGATCCTCCCATTTCCTGGGAGAATCGGGTTTTAAGAGATCCTGGGATCCCCACTTTTCTTTCAAAAAGGTTGTGTTTCTAAGGAGATGTATACCTCTTCTAAGAGTCTAACGAGTGTTATTGTATTGTTTAAATTATTGAAAAAAACCAATGCGATTTACAAATTACCATTGACGTAACGGTCAACCCTCCTCGTGCCACCCATGCAAGTAACTTCGGTACAAATTCGATGAAGATCTTCAAGGTTCGGTCTAGTATCAACCTTCACTTTATAAAAATTACCATCGACGTAACATGCTCCCTTTCCGGTCTCTTCCGTATAACCATTCCACCGTAACCCAAGCGTGAACTTTTGGAATGTCATTTGCAATAAAACAGTAACTTAATTAATACCATCAAATTTGGCAAAGCAAACTCGAAATAACAAGCAATACAAAACAAACTTACAACGTAACGTTAATCGCAATAATTCAAAACACAATTCGCTAAAACAAAAACTTAAAGAAGAATAGGAAGATGAGGTGAAGTGCTGAGTTCTCCGGGGCTGCCTTTTATAGGCAAAATCTTATTTGGAAACCGCTCCCCCCAAGGCGGTTTGCAAACGATATGCAACCCCACCTTGCAATCCCCTACTTGCCGACATGTAACCTGTCGGGAAAGTGGGGACTGTAGCAAGAACCCCCGCTGTAGAGGAGCATTTTCCTAGCAATTCTAAAACCGCTTTCTCCACATGCGGTTTAATTGAAAATTGTCTCCCCCTGCGGTGGTTCTCAATTAATGGTGGTAGTTTTGGAAATTTTGAGGGTTGGGTGGTATTTTTGTAAAAAAATTTTAAAAGGTGGTAATTCTAGAAAAAATTCCAAATTTAGAGATGGTAGCATTAGAGCAAAAATAATGAAAATAAGGATAATCTCCAAATTTGGAGATGAAGGTCCCAAATTTGGTGACTAGCATTGGAGATGGCCTTAGCCAAACATCTTGCAAATGCAATGCTAATGAATCATAGTAATTATCATTGTTATAAGAAACAAACATATCAACAATTAGACTAGTAGAACCACTAAACTAGTAATTATCATTGTTCATTTGATTATATTGTTATAGATGGACCGAACAGTTTTTAATGGTTTGACATGAAATAAGAGGAACCACCTTAATTTAACTGGTCCAGTGGTTTACTATTTTTATCACACAAAATTAAGAAAAAATATGGTAATAAGATTATCCAACCTCAATCACTAATCTTATTTATACTTTCCTTTTTTCATTTCCTAGTCTCATTGTAAGATTTATCTGATTCACTATGGATTGTCACTCTTATTACCGACTTGAATTTAATAAAAAAATATGTTTTTTTAGCTTGAGTACTTTGTTAGAACTTGGTGATAGTATGAATTTGAAACTTATATGCTTAGGAATAGATTCACTCTTAAATTAGTGTATAATATGTGTGATATATTATAACGCATGAACGATTTTATTAACTATCAACGAACAATGTTTGTTTGATCCATCAACCACTAACTTTTCCGATTTATATCGAGCCCGATTTGGAAAATATTGCGATTGTACGTTATCAGTTAGCACCTCCATTGTGTCGCACCTCCATTGTGTCGCTTTGAATAAGGGCGAAACATTATTTTTGTAGTTAAGTGCTGGCCGAATTCCCTCGTCCTCAAAGAGGAGAATTTCACTAATTCAACAAGTGCTGGATTTCATTTTTTTACTAATTGAATACTGATCTTAACCACATTTCCAGTATCCTAGAGCCAGGATAAACCCCGTTATGTTTCTCATGACCCACTACAAAACACTCCTATTCAGAGAGGGGATTCCCACCAACATAATAGGAGCTGCAGGAGGGCTAGCAGAGCAACATATGCCTGAAACCCCACACGACAGCACTAACCCTAACTCAACTGGGTATAAGAATCAGGCTCTGTTCCATCTTAGTTTCATGATCCATACAAATAGCTTCTCCTGACTCCTATTAGGCTTGCAATCTTGCTGAGGCCATCCACATATAAGTATTCTGGTAGAAAGGAACGCAACAATCATAGATGCATGGTTCTTAACAAAGACATCTTTCATCTTTGTACTGTCAACTACTACCAAGATGTCTTACAAATATTCTCACTAACTGGAGACAGAGCTCGTCAAGATTCTAGGGCATAATTTGTTCTTATTGAACAAGATATAGATAGATCAAAAAGATACGGACCGTTACTACCCCCGGATAAAACTAACAGTCCGCAGCAGGCATGCCAGCCATTGTCGAGTGCACAAGTCTCTCTGTGTTAAAACGTGCTGCAGAGTTCATTGCCATTGACTCATGATATTCCTACAAGCGACAAATGGTTCCAGGTTTTAGCTGATTGCTTCCAGAGATGAAAATGGAAGCCCGTGATCAGCAACAGAAATACGTAACATAAATTTAGCAAGTAACCTGAAAGTCGGAGAGTTCTGCATTGGAAGAAGCGGTCATACAACTTCATTGGAAGTTGTGTATTCTCTTTGCTGAGGTGAGAGTATTGGAAAGAAGCATTGCTATTGTCATTGGACCAACTCCCCCAGGTACAGGAGTTATTGCTGAAACAACTTTGCGCGCCTCTTCATAGCACACATCCCCCACCAATCTGTAACCTCGCGGACATGTTGCATCCTTTTAAACAAGCATCAGGAAACCAAAAAACAAAACAAGAAACAGTCAGTGCCATCCCCGTGGAACATTCAAATCAACTAAATCAGGTAGAGAATATGATCATGGAAAATAAAGAATACTAGAGGGAGTCTTCTCACCTCAACTGGGTTGATTCCAACATCAATGACAACAGCACCAGGCTTTAGCCAAGTCCCTCTGACCATATCGGGTTGGCCAACAGCAGAGATGACAATATCTGCTTCTTTGACTATCTGTTCAGGATTCTGGGTCCTAGAGTGCACGATAGTAACAGTAGCATCCTCCCTCTTCACACAAACACTCGCAAATCAGCAAAGGGATATAGACTCGTGGACTTTTATACAAAGGCCAAAGTGGAGCAACAATTGGCACCGAGAAAGGAAACAACAACTAGTACCTGAAGTAGCAAAGCAGCTGGCATTCCAACGATATTGCTGCGGCCAATCACAACTGCTTTCTTCCCTTTGATTTGGAAACCATACCTATGCAACAACTCAATACACCCTTTTGGTGTACAAGGAACAAAGGAAGGTTCTCTTCCACGCATGGCAAGACGGCCGATATTCAAGGGATGGAAACCATCCACGTCTTTCTCAATGCTAACAGCATTTAAGATGTTCTGTTCATTCATATGCTGCAAGCAAGAAATGCAAACATGGGGTTTTCCTCGTTGAATGTCATTCTGAAATCATTTAATTGGGCAGTGTAAGTTGGAAGAGCTCAAACTCTAATAACAAAGTGGGGAAAGTATATGTACCTTTGGCAGTGGCAGCTGGACAAGAATGCCATGAACAGCAGGATCATCATTGAAGTCTGAGATAAACTTTAGAACTTCGGTTTCAGCGGAATCCTCCGGCAACCGCACTTCGAAGGAATTGATCCCAACGGATTCACACGCTTTCTTCTTGTTTCGTACGTAAGTTGCAGAATCTTTTCGTTCACCGATAAGCATGACTGCTAGCCCGGGAACAACACCAATCGCATCTTTCATTCTTGATACCTCGGTAGTTATTTCGTCTCTGATTTCCTTGGCCACCATTTTCCCATCGATTATCTTAGCCGAGGCCGCGAGCTCGGCCTCACTAGCCATTGCTGCTGTACGAAAAAATCAACCAAACAATAAAAGTCATCATAGTAGCGTAGGTGTTTGTGAAAATGCCCGAAAGAAACCTCATTTTCGCGTACCAGTTACGGTGAGCGTTTTAGGAGGGTTAGAACGGAGGCGGAGGGTTTTCACGTGCGTGGGGTTGGAGCCACACCGGCCTACATGGAGAGAACCCACGAACCGGCGCAGGTAGATGGCGCCGGGACTACCAAAGTGGAGAAGCCGAGCCGTCGCAGAGTGAGAAGAACAATCAGCCAAATTCATGGAATTCGTTTAAGGAAAGACGTCGGGTCGAAGGTTCTGGCCGGCGGCGGACTGAACTTTTTGGCTCTGGTTTCCGTCCGCTATTCTGGAGGTGGATGCGGCGGCAACCGGAGGGAGGGGAAGGGGAGAAAGACTGGCTGATAAAGCCAGGGTTTTATTTCTAACGTCCTCGTCACAGCCCACCGGCCCATAAACCCAGGGTCAGGCCCAGTGCAAATGTTCTGGTTCTGGAAGTGACAGAGAGAGAAAACGACGAGCGAGAGAAGAGGTACTCAAGCTTCGTAGTTCGATGTGCAACTGAATCGCATGGCAATATGAAAATTGGCAAATTCATCTTCTTCTCAATCAGGGCATTCCGTTTCTCGTCAACCCGATTTCTCAATTCCCTTTGCCAGACGAGCCAAAGCTTCTCACCGAGCGAACAGTGCGTCACCAACCAAACAGCCGCTACTCTGTCTGCTGCTCTTCAGCAATACATCAAATCAAGCGTTCCTGGGCACGGCCGCAAGATTCACGCCCATATTCTGAAGACCGGTTTCCGTCCCAATACAAATGTACGTATCAAACTCCTCGTGCTCCACTTGAAGAGTGGGTGCTTGCAGTATGCGCGCCAAGTGTTTGATCAATTGCCTCACCGAACGCTTTCTGCTTATAACTACATGGTTGGTGGGTATTTGAGACAAGGGCTAGTTGAAGAACTGATCAATTTGGTTCGCGGGTTGTCTGTTGATTGCCAAGAAAAGCCTGATGGGTTTACCTTCTCCATGATTTTGAAAGCCTCTACTAGTACTAGTGCCTCCAGTGTTGTGCTGCCTCGGAAATTCGAGGGCATTGTTCATGCTCAGATAATTAGATTGGAGATTCAGCATGATGATATTCTCTACACGACTGTGGTTGATTCTTATGTGAAGACTGGAAACATTGTTTACGCGAGGAGAATTTTTGACTTGATGATGGATGAAAATGTCATATGCTCAACGTCGATGATATCTGGATATATGAACCATGGTTCTATTGAAGAAGCTGAAGCGGTATTTGGAAGAACAAACCAAAAGGATATCGTTGTCTTCAATGCCATGATTGAAGGTTATAGCAGGTCAGTGGGAACAGCTAGGAAAGCACTGGAGTTCTACATTGATATGCAGCGCTTTGGTTTCCGGCCCAATATTGCCACATTTGCTAGTGTTATTGGGGCTTGCTCTCTTCTCACTGAAGTTGAGATTGGTATACAGATCCATTGTCAGCTTACGAAGATCTGTTTTACCCACATAAAGATCGGAAGTGCTTTGGTTGACATGTATTCAAAGTGTGGGAAGATTGAGTACGCCCGTACAGCCTTTGATGACATGCCAGAAAAGAATGTATTCTCTTGGAGTTCAATGATTGATGGTTATGGCAAGAGTGGTGAACCTGATAAAGCACTCGAGCTATTCCATCAGATGCAACTACGTGGGGTCGAGCCCAATTATGTGACCTTTCTTGCAGCTATCTCAGCCTGTGGACATGGTGGCTTAGTTGGCAAAGGCCATGAGATCTTCGAGAGTATGGAGAGGGATTACTCTCTCAAACCAAGGATGCAGCATTATGCCTGCATGGTTGATCTGTTGGGTCGAGCAGGAAGTTTGCACCAAGCATGGGATCTGGTTATGGGGATGCCCGAGAGGCCAAACTCTGATGTGTGGGCAGCCCTACTGAATTCTTGTAATCTTCATGACAGTGTAGAGATGGCAAGTGTAGCTGCTAATGAACTGTTTAAACTCAATGCTAAAAGGCGGCCTGGCGCATATGTCTCATTCTCCAATACTTTAGCAGCTGCTGGGAAATGGGATAATGTAAGTCAATTGAGAGAGGCTATGAAGATCAGGGGAGTGCTGAAAGATACTGGCTCCAGTTGGGTTGGCGCTGAAATTGATGCTTGAGGTGCTCATTGCATGACGTGCACCAAAAGAAGTCGGGGATTATCTCTTTCAAATTTCAGATGAGTTGTTTTACAGGATTTGGTTATACCACTCAGCTCAATTAGGGCTCAAGCTTTTTAGTGCAAGTATCTTGGAGCAATCGCCATATGTGTTTGCAATAGTTGACAGAAAACCTGCTCGTGGAGGAGAAACTGAAGGAGATTCTACCAAGAATCGTCCTTTGATTTTGACAGTCATAGCTGTGCTCTTCAACATGTAACTCCTGTAATTTTGGATCATGAAAGGTAATTTGGCTTCGTGTACCTTTGTTTCTGAAACTTTGGTTTACAAAGTAAAGCATGTTGCTGTCCTTCCTTGTGACAATTTGAGCTTCTTTTTCCAGTCAAGGAAAACAATGTGTGCGACTCCTAAAATCATATTGACAGCCGGATTAGCAAGAAGACTGCGGATGAGAAAGTGAGGAGGGTCAAGGCAGAAGGATAGGTTAGTTTGGAATAGTAATTTGGTCATTGGTTGGCTAACCGTTTGTTTCTCTGATTCGGGAATCGTTATAGGGTAAGTAAACGGCCTCTGTAATTAATATGAAGATAAATAAATATACGTCTCCTGTCAATTAATTAATTGCCTTGTTTGGTTGCTTGCTTATATATATTTGGGATTACCTACAACAGAATTACCCATCAAGAGAAAAACGAAGCCAGAGAGAAATTAAACGTCAAGAAGAAGGAGAAGGAGAAGAAGAAAGGGGGAGAATGTGCTGCTGCTGCTGTGGAGATGACTGTGAATGCAGGCCTCTTGCCTTTCTGTTAGCCCTTCCTTTTGCCTTCGTCTCCCTCATCCTTTCCATAATTGGCATCATTATATGGATTCCTGGGTAACCCTAGAATCTCTCTAAATCCTCTACATGTTCTTCGGATTTGAGTTTATGGGTTTCTAATTTTGCCCCTTCGTGGTGTGTTCTGCAGCTTGTTGCTGAGTTGCATATGCCCATGCTGCTTCTGCGTGACAATCGTTGTGGAGTTCGCGCTAGGGTTGATCAAGGCGCCATTTCTTGTGATGGAGTGGTTTATCTCCAAGATTCCTTGTTAGGGTTTAAGTTGCAGAGATCGTTCTTTTCAAGGATGTGATTAATTGGTTAGAGGTCGAGAACCAGGGATTGATTGATGTAGTTTGACTTTTTCTTTCCCCTCTTTTGGTGCTTCTGTGGACGACATAAACAAAGACAATGATGAAGCTATTTTCCGGTCTTGATCCTTGGCTTTCTTGCTCTATTATTAGTTTCTCAATCTGTTAATTGCGTGTTGAATATTCGTCGGTTACTTTGTTTTTGTTGAGAACGATGAACAATGAATAAGCAATGCAGTGATGCCAATTTGAACCCGCTCCATCTATTTGACTTGTGTTGTTGTTGGTATTATTTTTATCTGTAGTAGCGTGAGGCGGGACGTGGGTATCTACTTCCTACCCGTCTGTTACGTTCTTGGCCCATTTTATTTCACTAGCTTATAACCCGGCCCATTGGCCGGAATATTCATATTTGATTATTTATATTTTTATATTATGTTTAAGCTAATCAACCAGTTTAATTTTATTGACAATCCTTCGATCGAGATGATACACAAAGAAAGAATATATAGGTCTAACATTCAGAGAAATACCATCATCATTTAAGAGTATAAAATATAAAATGTATCATTAGTTCCATTTTCATAATGATAAATAAGCCCTCATTAAATTGCTATTGGTTAGTTGATTGTCGAGAAAGAGGGTATAAAAGCTCAGTGAAATTCCACGCGACCCATAGATAGTTTGAAACTAAATCTTTAACCTCACAATCCTACATAAGGGTTTAATGCGCTCCTTTTATGAACAATATGCCACTAATCGAAAAGAAATGGAGAGTTGTTGATTCAAGTCAACTATATACTAACAACTCAGTTAAGAGGGGACTATCAAAACTTGAGAGCAAATGACAAAATTAGGGTTATCTCCAATATACTAATAGACTCAATCAAAGTAATAAGGCACAAAATTAGACACTCCTTGTCTATCAGCTCCGGTAGGTTGAATAAAGAATTGACCTACTTCAATAAATCAATCAATGATTCCTCATTTTAAGATAGATATAGGTTGTGATAGATGTAAAAACCATAAATATAAAGATCCAATAGCCAACACTCTTCGTTGTACAACCAAATTTTTATCTCAAGAGACATGTTTCAATCAAAAATTCAATTTCTAATCCTCCTTCTGCAACTCCGTTATTTATTAAACTCTTTTTTACATGCCCAACTTAAATCCCCAACAATAAAATCGACGTGCCAAGAGATACCCGGATGATTGATTTTCAAAGGCGGTCTTGTACTGGAAAGTGAAAGGGGTGCAAACTATTGTACGATGGAGGGAATTTTCGAGGAAGTTAGAAAGAGATAAGAACAAAGATAAAAACCACAAAATTTAAATTGAAAAATGCAAGGACATAAGATGTGGTGACAAAATTAGTTATTTCCATGTTAGCCAATTACCAATTTACCTATAGCAAAAACTAAGGGGAGAGAAAGAATTTAAAAATTGAGAAAGTACATGAAACTCTACAATGAAAATTGAAGTATCAAGCACCATAAAAATATATACGGTATACTTAGTGGACTTGCTAATCATGATGGAAAGTTCTGCGATTTTCAGAGAGTTGAACTTCGTGTATATTTTATATTAAAAAAGACACAACAAATTTGTTCAGTGTAAATCGTTGTGATTGTTGTCAATGTCTGAAGAGACCTAGGTTCAAATCCTGATGTTGATATTTTTTATGTAAGATAAATAATTAATTGTAAAGACAAAAATGTCCTTCCTACTTTCACTCTCGTTGCAGGAAATTCGAAATGGAAAAAAGTACACAAAAGTGTACTATATATTATTGGGGGATTGTTTTATCATATTCATTCATATTTCTCCTATTTTAACTTTTTTTCAACTAGTTATGTTGATCTTTCAACTAGTTATGCTAAATTACTCATTCTATTATCACTATTTTGCATTCATAAAATATTTTTCATTTGCTATATCGTAAAATGTAAAATTTTATTTGTATTTTTTCAAATAACATGTAAGCGCGACCGCACGAGTATTACCCGCCCCGACTCGCAGTATCATGGGGCGGGGCATAGGTATTGAGGTACCCGCCCGACCCGTCCCATTGGCATCACTAACCAAATAGTTGGTTCTTTCCTTGACCACTAATGTTGCATTGTTTACTTGGTCAACGGATTGGTGGTAGGCCAATTAAAAGTTGTGTGGATCTATCTGGTCCAGTCCAACAACTAGGGGTGGGCAATGGGCGGGCTGTGTAGATTTTGGTCTCAAATTGACCCACTCGCTCATTAGTGGGTTGGTATAATTGTTACCCACTATCCACCCAAATACTTCTGTGGGTTGGGTTGAGTGGATGGCGGATGGGTGTGGTTGGGTTGTGGGTTAACGTGCAAAAGCAATCTCCACCTAGCCACTAAGAATGTTTAGTAAAATTTATAATAAGTTTCTCGTAAATTAGTACGATTGTATCAATTTAAACACTTCCCACTTTGTCTCATGTGAATCGAAGTAGTATGTACATCAAAATTTTCAATACTCTACCGACTAATTGTGTAGAGAATTGAGAAACTGACGCATTTTGCAACTTTGATAAATTTAATAGTTTATAATGTGAATCCAACATATAATGGATATTACACAATACAATAATCAATAATAGTAGTTTAATGTCTAAAAATATTCTTTATTCTCCATTTCAAGGGCGGACCTAGGTTTGGCAATGCCTTGTCAATTGATAAAGCTTGATCCCATTTTGGGACAAAATTCCTTTTGTAAAATTTGATTTAATGATGATAGTATTTGAATTCAAGACTATTTGACAACCCTTGATCATTTTGTTTTATCGTTGAATACCCTTAACATAATTCATGGGTCCGCCACTACTCCATTTTTAGAAGTAGATGGCCAGTGTGTAGTGTGGTTAAAAAATATGATGAATATTTGATAGCACAAGAAAAATCATTTTATCATGTGAAAATATATATATAGTGTCGGTCATTCGGATGACCCGCAATCCACCCACCCACATAAGTATGGGTAGAAGATTTATCAACATGCAATCAACCTATATCAATTACCCACTATTTGTGGTTCGGATTATCTTGCAGTGGGTCGATATTAACCCGTGAATTAACTACCCACGTACCAACCCCTACCAACAACCCTAGTGTCGAGTTGTGACGTGAAACTGGACCATGTAATACATAGCATGATGGCGAAGTGGGCTCTTCCCACCATGGGGTTCGAGATTGAAGCCCAATTGAGATACATGGTGATGCGTTGCCAAATTCACACGTCTTACAAAAGCTATATTGCAATTTGCAAATGACTATTGACTGACACAGTAACTCAAAGGAATTTCCAAACTGCGCAAGAGTCCGATTGATTTTTTCGGGTTAAATTCAATGGGTTTATCAAAAAGTGTTACGTTTAGTCACTAAAAATATTTAATTTCAATGCGGGTCACTTGAATTAATAAAACGATTCATGTTTTAGTCACTCTCTGTTAGTCTCCGTCCAACTTTGTTAATGAAGTCCGTTATGGGATGACGTGGCAACATAATCACCTAATGAGCGTAATTTAACCCGAAAATAATGAGATCCAACCCACCACATCACTCCAACCCAACCCAACCCAACCCAACCCCCTTTTGTCTTCTCTAATCTCTAACCCTCTTCTTCCCTTACCTTTCCCCTCTCTTGCTTCTAACCCTTCTTCCCCGATCCTCCCCACCGCTTTTTTTCCCCACTCCTTCCTCCGACAAAACACAAGCCCTGACAACACATACCTCTCTCTCCCACACTCGTTCCACTAGACTCAAACCCCCATCAGGACAAGTCCTCCATGATGGGGCGAACATTGAAAGCGCCGCTGCCGCCACCGCCACGATCTCGAATGTCACGTCTGCTTTCGGCCTGGAAGAAGAGAAAGAAGGCGATCAAGTAGCTAGTGGGATTAGGTGGAGTAAGTGCTTCATGCTTTTCTTGCTCGTCATTCTAATTGTTTCCATCCGAAGGAAATTCGTCCCCGCCGTCGTGGACTGGGCCGAGGTCATTAGCAGTGACCCCCGATCAACAATTTGAAGAATCGCAGAGCGATGTCGATGCACAGAATACAGCAAGCTGCTGGAGATTAAGATGACTGTGTAATTGAAAAGCCATTCAAGGACGAAGAAGGGGATCTGATTGTCGAGCAACGCCAAGTCTCCCGCGAATCGCAGCCCTGCTAGCTTTTGTTGATTTTCGTTTTGGTTTTTCTCTTGTTGTTGTTTCCCTGAGCAGATGATCCAGAGGCAACCGAGTTTCTTAACACAACTATCTCAGGAGACCTTCCGCTCATAAGGAGTAATTTGCCTCTGCATTCTCTCTCCGTGTATATATATTTCCCACTTTTCGTCCAAGGTAGCTACCGGGTAGCTAACTTTTCTTTATTTTAGGGCTGGATAATACGCTTGAAAAGCTAGTAGATGAGTTGTCGGACGGGGATTTGAGTCCAGTAGGAGGAGTGGGTAAAAAGAAGCTATGTGTTCTCCGGGATTGTGTTTCGTCGGAGGAGGGAGTGGGGAAGAAGCTATGTAACAGACTCTATTAACGGAGTTGGACGGAGACTAACGGAGAGTGACCAAATGTGAACCGTTTTACTAATTCGAGTGACCAACTTTGGAATTATATAATTTTAGTGACTAAATATAAAAAAATTTAGTAAACCGGGTGACCAAACGTGGAATTTACCCATTTTTTTTGGTAATGACTAATTATTAGTCAAATCTTTCCAACATTCCTTTTTATTAACCAAATCTATTGAATGACTAATAATTAGCCAAATTTTAACTTTCAATTAGCAAATTTGTTAGTAATATTGACTTGAAAGAGACACATGGAGGTCAACATTCCAAAACTTTAGTATTTTCACTAAGAAAAATTTACAAATTATTTACGGTAACATAAAAATGGCTAATATTTTGACGCATTAAATTTTTTTTTATGTTAATTATTAATAATTCAATAGGTTTGACTAATAAAAAAGAATAAGAAAATGATTTGACTAATAATTAGTGTTAGCCTTTATTTTCCTTCTCATTTTTACCTAATTTGATCATCTACACTTGTTCATGAGTTATTAGTCTAATCTAATCCAATGCTTGAAAGCTGCTACCTAGACAAGTGGTTTTGGCATTCATGGCTTTTGGGCAATTACTTGGTAGGTGCCTTCACATGGAGCCCAATTGGATATGCCATATAATTGGTGGTATAATACTGTTTTCAAGCCCTTTTCTT